GAGTGACTGCTGTGCCAAATGGAAGTGACCTAATTTGATGTCGAATGCTGCCTTGATTTATATATATTCTTTTTAAGAGGGGATGTTTCCTTTGCGGTGCCCTTCTTTTAGCATATTTTGCGCTGACTTCCAAGTTTGTCATAATTGATATAATATATCAGTAGGTGACCCATTTGCAACCTACAGTGTGACGTAAAAATGTCAATTTAGTGGCGGTCCAACATCTTATCAAGAGGTCCAAAATCCCAGTCAGCGGTCCAAAATCAATATTTTTGGACCGCTCAAAAACCTGGAAAATTGCTAGATTAATTGTTTAGTACATATTTATAGAGATGAAATAATACGTGTTAGTGCAAAATTGATGTCTTTGGAACAGTTGATGCTTTCACATTTTCAAAGATTACAGTACCCTTAAAGATACCAACAATTTTAACTTTTTGAACTTGACCTTGGATTTTGATCTACTTTAAAAAAAATTATCCTTGGTCATAATTTTTGAATGGTTGATTATTGCAGTGTTCCCATATCTTACGGGTACTGTATACAGTGTATTTATTTAGACAATCCTTTCTTTGTGTAAAAACATTCTTGTTCTTCAAAACCTTCGAAAACTTTCGTCAAAAGCTGCCATATGGTGGCATCAGTGTTTCACAAATTGGAAAAAGTTGCAAAGAGTCTTCTTCCTCTCTTGAAGAAGTGTTTGAATAAGTTTTAGACTAAAAGAATATAAATCCAGTTAGTTTAAAAAAGGTGCGTGATTAGTGCCCATTGGAATTCCAACAAGTTGTTGAAATACAGTATTTCTAAAGCCTTTATACATAGATATTGCAAAGAGACTCCAGCACATGTTCAGTTTCAACTTCAGAAAGACTGTGTATACATCGGAATGATTCCAACAAGGTATTTAAAAGTTGTCCAGACACAAGATATGAAATTCTTCGTATTTGTTTTCTATTGAAGAAATCATTGATTTTTTTATGTGAAAAATCCTGTTCTTTCATATATCATTAGTAATATTATTAAGCGTTAAAAAGTCGTGCGTTTTTGTGAAGTTGATTTTGAAAAATTTTACAAAAGATTTTTATCTGTAATAGTGTCGATAAATATAGTCGCTATTTCTCAGTGCAGGACAAAGGTAAACAAATAGAATTGCTATGACTAAATAAATTATTAACTCACCTACAATGATGGTTCATGTGAGCTTCTTTGATTACTTTCGTCTGTCGTTTATCTATTAACATTATTAGCTTTTCATACCTTTGACTTCTTTTTATTAAAAACAGAGGGTCAATTTCAACCAAACTTACTATAATGTAAAAGGCAAAGAACATGAACAGTGATCTAACTTTTAAACAAGATGTGTTTGTGAAACACTGATGCCCCCGTGTGGCAACATAGCAAAGATTAAACTTTTCTTAAATGCAAATTTAATATATTGGTACCAAAAGAAGGGTATTCTCACTGGAAATACAATTGTGAAATACGAAAGTAGGCCAAGGTTAAAGTTTTTTCATAAGTACAGAAAAAATCTTCAAGGCCAAGGTCATTGGTATCCAATGAAAGGCCTTGCCACAAAAAGTACACATGTAAAGTATGGAAGCCCTAGCCCTAACCGTTCAGAAGTTATGGCCAAGGTTAAAAACAATTTTTAAAAGTAGGTCAAACTCCAAGGTCAAGGTCAAGGGTCTTGCTAATAAATGAAAAGTCTTGTCACAAGATACGTTATTTACGTAAAATATGAAAACACTAGCTCTAACTCTTTAAAAGTAATGGTCAATGTTTGCTTTTTAAAAGTAGGTTAAACTCCAAGGTTAAGGTCAAAGGTCAAAGTTCTAGGTATCTAATGAAGGGTCTTTTCACAAGGATTATATAAATGTGAAGTATGAAAGCCCTAACCCTTACCGGTCAAAAGTTATGGCTAAGGTTAAAGTTTTTTCACAAGTACAGAAATCTCCAGGGTCAAAAGGTCATTGTTGTTAGTATTTAATGAAAGGTCTTTTAACAAAGAATACATATGTGAAGTATAAATGTCCTGGTATCTACTGTTCAAAAGATATGGCCAAAGACCAAAGTTAAAGTTTGGAATTTTTGTCCAAAAGTGGGTCAAACTCCAGGGTCAAGGTCAAAAGGTCAAACTTGGAGGTACCCAAAGAAAGGTCTTGTCACAAGGAATCCTTACTTTATCTTAATTCTCTTCGTGCCAGGAGGCACACAAGGCCTGGACAATTCACTTCCACTGGGTCGGTCTGAAGCTGCACAGCATGCCGTGTTCCAGGATTTCCAGACAGCATTGCTTCTCTCCACCTCCACCATCCGTCGCCATGTTTTCTTGGGGCGGCCTCGCTTCCTTCTCCCTTCAGGCGTCCACCCGAGGGCCACAACACAGTCATCCATGGGATCCTTCCTTAGCACATGGCCGATCCAGTTCCATCTCCTCCACCTCACCTCGCCACTGATACTTTCTGCTTCTGCCATCTCCAGAACTTTCTTGTTCAAGGTATGTGCTGCTGCCATCTGACCTTAAGGATCCTTCTGAGGCACTTGGTCTGAAAGACGTCAATCTCCTTTTCCTCTGTCTTGGTAAGCTTCCAGGTCTCACATCCGTATAATAATACAGAGAGGACCAGGCTCTTAAAGAGGGAGATTTTTATCTTTCTGTTGATGTCTGTAGCATTTCAGATGTTGGCTAGCCTCCTGAAGGATGCACCGGCCAGTGCTATCCTCTTCCTGATATCAGCAGTTCCTCCTCCATCCTTAGTGAAATTAGCGCCGAGGTATGTGAAGCTGTCCACCTCGTCGGCTTTGCCGTTTCCAACTATCAGGCTGCTTTCACTCTTGCTATTACTCTTCATCACTTTGCACTTCTTGGCATTCAGCTTCAACCCAACTTTTGCGGAGTTTTCTTCCAGTTTTGATGTCTTAGACTGAAGATGGTCCATTGCTGATGAGGTCAATGTCGTCCGCAAAGTCGAGGTCATCAAGCATAGTGGTGAAGTCCCATCTAATTCCTGTTCTCTTTCCTCTGACAGTCTGTTGCATCACCCAGTCTATCACTAGGAGGAACAAGAAGCTTGACGTGCAGCATCCTTGTTTGACACCAGTTATCACAGGAAAAGGGCCTGTGGTCTCCTTAATTGTCATCAATCACAGAGCACTGAAGTGATGACAACGAGACCACAGACCTTTTTTTTGTCACAAGGAAGACACATGTGAAATATGAAAGTCATAGCTCCACTAAATCAAAAGTTATGGGCAAGGTTAAAGTTTTTGCGGACAAACAGACAGACAGAGAGACAGCTAGACAGACAGACAGACGGACACGACAAAAACTATATACCCCCAAAACTTCGTTTACGGGGGCAAAAAAATCCATAAACAATAAGAATATGTGAATAGGGCACAAAACACGGACTCCTGGAAATTTCAGAGGTGGGATCAGGTGCCATAGAGGAGTAGGCATCCCCAGTTGACCAGTCAACTCCGTCGTGAGTCCTATATATTGATCAGGTAGACGAAACTATGATCCTTAGTCAAAAGTATAAAACATACAGTATAAAACAACGGCCTAACAATCGGTATGAAATTAATCAGCCAAAATACGGTTATATTTGCTAACAAGTCATTATAACGACTATAAATTTTACGAAATGCTGCATTTAAACGAAGCTCTTGAAAATCCTGAATCATCAATTAATCAGTAGGTGGCCTTGCATTAAAATTTGATCGTACTCAGAACAAGCTCTTGAGTAGCAAATAAGTAGGGAGACCTCGGGGTAGTGTGGACCCATATAATGGGAAATCAAATTTAGCATGTAAATATATAAGAAAAGGTCTTCTCGAATCTATTTAGTCATCATATTTATATGGGAGCTTCCTCGGGTAGTGTAGAATTAATTTTGATCAACTCATGGCCCCTGCTGAAGCCATAAAAGGCGATCAAAGATTTACTTAGGATGTATAGGAGAAGAATAAAAGTGTTAGAGTGGCTCATTAAAACGTCATAAAGTAAGGGGTAATGTGAACCCTCCATAACAAAAATAAAATTCCTCACCAATACTATTACAATAACTATAATTGCACAAGTTTTTTCAGTTAAAAAACGTCAACATTATTCCTTCTACTTCTCTGAATCAGAAAACGATGAGATCGGGTGCATAAAGAGCTCTTTGTGAAATGCAATATTTTCTTTGATGATCTTCATATGCTTCTGAGAAAGGTTTAATTGTAGCTCAGTGACAGTCGATTGTTTTTCTTGGACGTTCTGCATTCATCGAAGAACTTAACGTTAGCAAGACTTGAGAAAGGCACAGATGCACGCACTAGCTAGTAACCATGCTATAAAAATATCCAAAATATTATTTACTTTATAGACTTCAAAGAATTTATCTATGTCTATACAAGTGAAGATATATGTCGCATGCTGAAATGTTAACTTCCTTTAAAAATCCAAACTTTTTATCAAATAAATGCTGTGCCTTTAGAAAGCAGATATGTATTTGTAAATTGATTAAAACATTTTAATTATTTTCATTAAAATGTACCCAATGCACCAGTGTATACGTCCCTGGATATCATAAATATATATAACGGGACAGTTTCAGGTAACGTTCTATATTCGGCTTATTTAACGCTACTCACAGGATGCCTTGATTATAGGGAATTGAACATTACTGTATAAAAATGCAATTTATTATCATTTCATTTCATTAATCATCGTATATACCTGTAAACTATATATACTTATGAATAATATATTCCAAAATAATGCATTTGTAAGATATGTTAAATAATTATCTGTACAAAGAATCTCCTATAGTCATTTGTAAAGTCGTATATTTCCTGTCTATACACACTAGAGGCTCTGTTCAAATTAAATCTAAACAACTTGCCGCCACATGATATTTTCTTGCTGAACAGCATCAGTTTGATGCTTGTATGTTTACGCGCTGTTTAGTAGCCAGCCGTTATCCTATGTGCGTATCGATCGACTCAGCAAAACCATTCAATATGTTTATGATATTCAAAATGGCGCTTATGAAGAACTTTTGCATGCGTCCGTTCGACATCCCGGCTATGTCGTGGATTTTGTTGTGTTTGACCACAGTTTGTGAAGATATTTAGATACTCTCTTAGCCGACTTGATGCTATGGAATGTTATTGTGTATTTTTGTTGAAATCGGATCTAATTAGCGCTTGAATTTGGTTCTACTGAATTCCAAAACCTGCTTCAGTTGCAGACGAGAATAGAAGGAGGTCTCTATCTCGTGCGCTTGAGCGATTACACAGAGATTTTTTTTTATTTCTTCTGATTCTTCACTGATTAAATTGAATGAGACCATATTGCTTAACTCGATTATTGATTGTCGTGTTCCAGGAACCTCTCAGAAACTTAAAGCTGAAGTCTATAACAATGTGACTACGGAGTGCACTGTGTGTTTGCTGAGGGCTTCAAATAATTGATTCAAATCATGATTTCAATCGGAAAACTGGTAATTAAAATTCTTGTGTACAGAAAGGTATTTGAATTCTAAAACACTGAAAAGAGTATGTATTTGCCGACCATTAAACTTTTTTAAGTGTCGTCGATGTGAATTCCATGAAAACGTTCGATGAGTGTTTTTTAGTAAGGCTATGGATAAAGCACAATACAAGATGTTTCTTGTTTCTGCGGAGATGAATATCGAGTTTAATTGCAAAGAATTCTATTTGAAATATCTTGTTTCCAGATCAATCAATTAAAAGGAGAGAAGGAAAAAACGAGAAATAGATGTACGCTGCAAAGAAAATGGATTGGTAAAACAATTTGTCAGTAGTCTGCGAAGCGAATGCTAGCAATCAGTAATCAGAGCGATCGCGAAAACTCGCATGATGTTTTAGCAGATTCACATTATAATTTTCTGTGAGTTCAATAAAAAGGGGAAGAAAATGTGTTAAACGTTTTCTCCTCTTTAGATGATCATTTGCACACTGAGAAATTGTTTTATACAAGGGACCCCAGAAGATTTCAATCTGAGATTATTGGCGGTATCTGCGATAATATTACAGTCGGTGTATCTGACACCATGGACCATCAGCTAGATTATTGATTGAATTGAGTTAATGTCCAAAAAATAGCGTGTGCTTTATGCGACGATAAAAAAAAAACCATAGTGGGAAAGTAGATCTGGGGAAAAAATATGATTTGTCTACCTTGTAAAATTCAGAGAGACTTTTCTCTGTTAATATACAAGTGTATTTGAAGTCTCTCTGGATTCTGCATTGTTTTGTGAGGTTGTGTCTAGAGAGCCACTAAGTGAGCACTAGTGAGTCCTTCACAGCAGAAAATGGCATTAACTTCAAGTAGACCCCTGTATAAACAGCGGACTGAATCGCTGCCCAACACTTTGACCTCTGTTATGTTTGGTAATGGTCAAATCAACCCAGAGGATAACCCCAACTACCTGGTTTACAAAAAGGTAGGTGTTTAGGCATGAATTTTTAAAAAGATTTCTTCTTTTGCGTTTTGTATCTTAAAAATTAAAATCCAACTTTTGGTTAGGTTATGTACATCTGTTGCAATAATAACTGTTGTTGTTGACAAGTCCTGTATAGATTTTGCATTCACAGCAAACTAAATAAATTTGCAATAAAATTCAATTTTTACAGTAGTAAATATAAAGTACAGTGTACGTATAAAGAAGACCAAAAAATCATTGGAAATCTTTTTTGGTCCTTGTATATTATAATTATATTTACTGTCGCTGGCTGCTCGTCAGTTATATCCCGTGGTACATCTTGGACCACGTGCATTAACAACTTCGTTGCAGATAAATTGCAACAGAGGGGTATTTTTCCAACATCTTACAGCTATCCTTAGTCTGCAAACAATATTTGAATATATTGTTTCCAATCTGAATTTCGTCAAAGATGTTCTTGATCAATTTTGATACCATCTACGCATGCTTGGGAAAGCATTCGGCATACAATAACTGCAACTAGTGCACAACTATATATATCTTTTTTAGTACATAAGTAAATTGTAGAAAAATGTCACATATAATGAAAGGATCAAGATAATCTTGAGCGTCAAGGTGATTAATATTATCTCCGTCACAGACTACTTGTGATTACTGATGCTGAAAAGTGAAAATGTATATATTATGTATAGTTACCTGTTGTGCCTGGTATAAGCATTGATAGGAACTGTTTCATATGAATGAACAATGAATATTTGGAACGAATAGATTTTAATGATTATAGTTGTGTATGGTTTAAAGTATACATACAAACGAAGTAAAATTGTTGTCTTAGAGTAAAGACCAATTGAATAGTAACCTTTTGATGCTGGAACTGAACGATAAAAAAAATAAAATCACAGATACGTGTGCACTGAGCATTCAAAGGTATTCAACCATTTCTTTGCGCTTTGTGTACACAAAACCTAGTTTTTGTTTCAAACAAGCGAACTGCTTGCATACAAACATGACTCAGAACTGTTAAAATGAAAAGATATTTATCATCCCTTGGTTCTGTCTAGTTGCCCAACCTCTGCCAAATCCTACAGACGGTTTCTTTTTTCTTATAGAATGATTCTAATTGTGAAGGGTTGAAAAACAAGGGGAAATCTTGGTTCCTAACACGCTTCTTTTTCAGCAATGTTCACAATTATCTCCAGTCCTCAGACAAATACATGTCATTTTCCTGATATATATCATCAATATGTTAGAATGTGAATATCCTTGGAAAGATGATGCGGTACTTTTCCAAGATGAACGATGGATTCCGTATTTTTTCTGGCCCCCTTATCAAGAATGTTAGCAAAAGACAAGATGCTGTACGTCACGTCTTTGTTGCAATATTCCAACCACATTCTATCAAGAAAGGCAGTCTTGCTAATGTAAAGATATTGATCTAGGTCCAAATTGTGTCGGAGACGTACAAAAACTGGTTGGAAAAAACCCTGTCTAGGGCTAAATGTTTAATAAAAAAAAAATCTCAATCATAAATTCATCAGGTCCGCAATATAAGATTCACAGTCGGTGAAACATGCAATACTTTATGCAGGTAACTCACTGCAGATTTGGTAGTAACTGTACATGTAGATGATTTTATTCTCAAAGAGCGTTTAGATTTCAAGATGGTCAGATAAAGATGTTTATAGATAAAACATTATCCGGAAATAAGTTGGTCAGTGTTTGGTTTTATGACGTAGCTGCTGATGCGAACATCCCATATGACTGCATTATGGATTTGATTCGTGGAGATTTTATATTCCCAAATGTTTCAGCTGAAGGCAATTTCTCCATAAAATGTCAATAGTATTTTATAGACATTAGTATATTATATTAATGGCGATACATAAACTTAATAACACTGCTCCGTTTGGGACCGATAGAAAGTGATTGGCAGAGAAATCAGCTGGCTATTTGGTCGATACGATGCTGACTGTCGAGCGGTAAGTCCCATGCAGTGCATTTGATTCAGATTGATGAACTGTCCAGAGTAACATTTGAAGCTTAAACCAGCAACTCTCTGTTAAAGTTGATTTTTCTGAACGATTACGACAAATTATGAATCATCCTCTTTTAATATTTGCCCGATTGTTTACTGTATTTATCATGTTTATCTGTTTATTGTTGAACTTTTATTTCAATCATTTCATTTTTGGAAAGGGGGGTGGGGGGTGACATGACTTGCTTATAGGCCCATAAATTAACACTATCTTCTAACAATTGTCTCTCTCTCTCTTTTTTAACATATATCTTAATTTACTTCCATAGTCATGATGATGCATTTCTCATATTTTTTGTAAAACATGAATTTATTTGATTTCAATCATTTCATTTTTGGAAAGGTGAAAAGCTGAAACTTATGTGGAAGCATTCTGGGGTTGATAATTGTTCACATCATGAGGGGGTTTGTGTTTTACATAGAAATATATAGGAAAAATCTTTATTTTTTATGCTGCATGAAATAAATTGACAATAACTTCTATGATCTTCATATTGTCACTTTTTTTATTTAAAAAAAATACAATGTGTCCAGTTTCCACTACTTTTCATCAACATGATCAACTGTGGCTGCAGTCATAGACATATTGCCTGACTTAATATATGAAAATGTTTTTTTTTTCCTCTCTCTCTCTCTCTAAATAATTGAGTTTCATATTGAGATGATTCTTGGAAACATTCAAACCTTGAAATCTGGAATTTAGGGGGGCTGTCAAAAAGAAGATAATTTGCAGGGCTGTAAGCTAAAGTATTGAAGATAAATTTTCACATTCATAGTATGGATGAAACAGCCTACTCATCGCTTCTATATATTATTCAAGGTTTTTGATTAGCCAATGTACAACTAAGTGAAAATTAACAAATACATTTTCAAATAAATGTAAGATCAATCAAGGTTGTTGAAATTTACAAATTGTCCATGAAATTTATTAGAAATCTGGCACAAATATGAAAACATTATCACCAACCATTCAAAAAATATGAATTTATTTTTTCAATTATTAAATTTTCTGGATACATAAGGGATGTTAGTCTTCACTTTTCAGCATTAAAATTGATCTATCATCTATGTTATATGTAGCTTTATACATAAAACCATAACACTACAGCTCTGCTTATAATGAATTATATGAAAACCCTCACATCAACCATTCGAAACTTATCACCAAGGTTAAACTTTTTTTTGCAAAAAAAAAAAAATCAACAGATTGATGATTTTTCTGTTTAAGCTGATAAGACAAAGTCTTGTCAGATGTTAATCATTTATTCTGCATTACAATCAAGTTATGTCTTGAATATAAGGACATAATTTTTATGCTCCTAAGGGAAGATTTCAGGGCACTTTTTTCTGGCTTGCTGGCTGTCTGACTGTTTTTCCACAAAAACTTTAACCTTGCATAACTTTTGATTGATTGAAGTTATGGCTTCAAGTATATATTTCTTAAGACAAGACCTTTCTTTGGGTATCAATATATTTGATCATAAGCAAAATTTTACAAAGCTTTAACCAAAATTAAGCCATATCATTTTTGATTGGTATTAGGGCTTTCATACTTTAAATGTTTATTCCATACGACAAAACTTTTCTTGAATACCAAAGTTTTGATTCCCTGACCTTGACCTTTGTGTTTGACCCACTTTTAGAAAACTTTAAATTTGGCCATGACTTTTTAGGGTTGGGGCTTTTATGTTTCACATGTGTAAATCTTGTGACAAATTTTTTCTTTGGGTATTATTTATTTTGACCTTTTTCTCTAGACATTAGAGTTTGACCTATTTTGAAAATTTGAACATAACCTTAATTTGGAATGACTTGTTAACTGTTGGTGTGGGTTTTTTTTCACATGTGTATTCCTAATGACAAGACCTTTCCTTTATTAAATCTTGAACATCTAGCAGACAAACTGTTTGCATGATTATAATGACTAAATATTCAAATGTTTACCAAACTGCAAATGTTAGAAATCCCTGACCAGACAGTAAAATTGTGTGACTTGAGTCCAGAGTGGTTTTAGCTTTAAGAAACTAATGATACTCAGGTGACTGTTGAGGCCCATTACCCCTTGTTAAATACTTGAAACCTTCCCCTATAAATGAATAAGTTTCTTTCAATAATGTTAATTTTTGATAATTTAGTAGACAGTCAGTTAAAAGAAATTGTACAGTTAGAACATGGTTGTAGGGTTTTGCCAAGACATTGCCATGTGTACAGTGTTTACAGCTTAGCATTTTAAACCTGGTCCTTGTGTTCAGAAACAATATAAAGTCGCTGGTTCTATACCAGATTTGTAAGTTTAACTGGTCTCTCAAGATGAAGAAGTATCAGATGCAAAATTAATGCCAATTAACTCTGTTGGCATGGTGTTTGAAAATATTTACATGTAGCTTCTCTAAATCTCAACATTTCTAACAAATTTCGGGACTGATATTCAAATGTTTGCTTGGCAGTTATTTATGATATCCCTAGTAATTTGAAGATAATGAGGATGTTGCATGGAGGAGAGTAATAAATAATAGCCTCATTAATCTCTTAGCTATATCTATCATGCATGGGATATGTAATTTGTATATTAAACTTAAGTATTTTATTATGGTAAACATGTATGGTAGAGTATCTGAAAAATAAGAAAAGTTTGCAAATTTCTAAACACTGCAGCTTTTAATCAATTTTTTCTATGGATATCTTACTAAAGGGAAAATTTTTGTTTGATTTCATTTTATATTTTTTTGAATGTATTTTACAATATTGTTTTCTAACATTTAAACACTTTTTAAATCAACAAATTACCAAAATTTCACTTGGTTTTGACAAATACATTATTTGCTGGTACCCTTCAAAAGTAAAGTAAAAAAATGGTCATTACCTCCTATTGTTGGATACCCGCAAGTGATCTATTCTTTGATTTATACAGTAAAAGATTATCTCAGCCAGTGGTATCCCACAATGCCTCTTAGGACTCCCTTCT